AAATAAAATACATGATATTTTGCTGTCATCTAGAAGTAGCAAAATTATATTAATGTGCGACATAGAGGCAGCTTTCACGCAAATCCGTTTGCTAAAATCTCACAAAGACCTGTGCAGATTTTTGTGGCTTAAAAACGTAAGCCTACCCCCTACCAAAGATAACCTTATTCAGTATCGGTTCAAGAGACTCCCATTCGGAGTCACCGCCTCTCCTAGTGTTCTGAACATGGCTCTTTCGGCATTTCTGAGCAGTCAAAACACAGAATTAGCCGACGAAATCGCTCGTAACCTGTATGTGGACAATATCCTACTACAAGCCGAATCGCCAGAAGAAGCCGTGCAAAAATATTACAAGTCAAAGCAACTATTCGCTCGAATCGGCATGAATCTTAGAGAGTACATCTCAAGTTCTAAAGAAGTTAATCAGCGTATTCCAAAAGAGGATAGACTGGAATCAAACTGCCTAAAAGTGCTCGGTGTTGAATACAAGCTAGAAAATGACGCCTTTCAAGTCACTACAAACTTTCGAAAGTTTGAGACATTAACAAAAAAAGATGTTGTGAGCCAAATTAATTCCGTTTACGATCCCATTGGGTTAGCCAGCCCTCTACTAGTTCATTTAAAAGCAACGATGAGGGAAATATTCGATTCAGGAATTGACTGGAAAACGAATCTTGATCTCAAAATGGTACAAAAATGGAATCAATTATGTAGCGCCGTTAATGGAGCAATTATATCATTGCCTCGACCTTTCAATCCAGGTGCGAAGATACGCCTGTGGGCATTCGCAGATGCAAGTAACGCTGCAATCGCGACCTGTGCCTACGGGCAAAACGTCCTCTCAAGGTCAATATCTAGCCTAATTAGTGGAAAAACACGATTGACACCAAGAAAATGTCATCAAACAATTCCGAGGTTAGAACTTATCGGACTATTAATGGCAATGCGCCTTACTAACTCGATTGTTTCAAACGTCGGCAAGTCACATATTACAGTTGATTCAATATCAGTAGTGACGGATAGTGAAATCGCATTATGGTGGTTGAAATCTACAAAAAAATTGCCGCTTTTCGTTGCTAATACGCGAGAGCGGATCCTCAAAATCAAAACAGCCATAGAAGCAAAAGGAATCTCCTTGTCATTCTTTCACGTAATCACCTCTCATAACCCTGCAGATGCCGGCACAAGAGGTTTAAGCGCTCAAAATATCAACAACAGCGACTGGGTACGTGGTCCAAAATGGCTTGAAGCAAATCCTGCCACATGGCCAATAAAATCTATAGAATATATCACCGAGACACCTTCAGAAAGTGATGACAACCAAGTAACGCCAAAAATAAACATCTTGGCACAAACCAGCGAAAATTCGCCTCAACTCATCGATCTGACAAGATTTTCGACTTTGCCAAAAGTGCATCGAGTAGTTGCCATAGTTAATAAAACGCTATCTAATTGGGCTTCACTCACGAATAAAAACCGTAGCACAAAGATCGAGTTACTAAATGTCTCGAAATTCAGCTCCGCCAAAGAGATATCGTCCACAGAAATCGAATTGGCAGAAAGAATTGTCCTTCTACAAGAACAACGCCATGAAGATATCAAAACGTTACAAAAGCGATTCACTGACAAAAATCTTATTCGAGACGAAAATGGTTTAATTCAGGCATCAATCGCGTTTACAAAACGCAGCGATTCCTCGAGATACCAAATCGCCTATTTATGTTCCTACAAAATCAGAAGCTCATTCGCTTGATTGTGCAGCAAATCCACATAGAAAACGCTCATTGTGGAAAGGAACATACCCTCACAATCGCACGGCAACGATTCTGGATACCGCGTCCTTCAGATGCCTTCAGAAAATTTCTCAAAAATTGCACAACATGCAAGAGATACCAAGGACTACCATTAGGTGCTCCAGCAATGCCAAGTTTACCCCAAGACCGAGTAATCGTGTCTAAACCGTTCGAAAATACTGGATGTGACTTTATAGGGCCATTCACGTCAAAAACTCAAGATAAAATGTACGTATGCTTGTACACATGCCTCACATCACGTGCAGTTC